TCCCTCTCCTCTCCTCCCCTCAGACGACAGCCTCGAAGCCGTTTTCAACGTCGAGGTCGCCATATCGAGGATCGGCTTCTGCGGGAACCTTGCCCAGCAGGTCTACTGCACAACCAACATACACAGCTTGCAGGTGGTGAGCGACGAGCCGTCGGAGGACGTGTGACGTTGGGGGTGCAGATGTGGGATGTCGGCAAGGAGAAGCTCCTTGTCAACGTGGAGGACATGAGGGGAGCGTTGCAGGTTGAGCTCTTGCCATCCTCCAAACAACGAACCTCCTCCTCCTCCTCCTCCTCCTCCTCCTCCTCCTCCTCCTCCTCCTCCTCCTGCTTCCCGTCCTTGCTTTCGTTGTCGTTGTCCTCTACCTGCGGTCTCCTCGCCGTCGTCCAGCAACCGTTCCTCCTTATCCTGACCTAAATGATTATCATCGTCATCATCATCATCATCATCATCATCATCATCTCCATCATCATCATCATCATCATGAGCACTCTCTTCTCACCACTGCTGATCGCGCAGTCAACGTCGCCTCACCCTGTCGACTATCTGGTTGACTGTAAATATCAACGGAGCACAGGTGATTGGAAGACAGTGAGAGGAGGAAGAGGAGGAGAAAGAGAAGGAAGATGAGGAGTAGCAGAAAGAAGTACAGGAAGAGAGGCGGAGCAGCAGCAGCAGGAGCAGCTAGAGCAGCAGGAGGGGGGAGGGGGGGACAGGGATGGCGAGTGGAAGTGCATGGGGAGAAAGGGGAGGTAGGTTTCTTTCATCTTAGCTGATCTGCAGATACGCTTCATCTCTTCACGGGCTCCGAGTCAGGGCATCTCAGCATGTGGCGCTTGAGCTCCGATGGGCCGCAGTTGGAGGCCTGCATGCAAGACAAGGAAGGGCATGTAGCGGTAAGAGGAGGCTGGAAGATGAAGAGAGAGAGGAGGAGGAGGAAAGGGAGAGGGAGGCGAGGGGAGGCTGGAAGATGAGAAGAGGTAGGAGGAGGAGGAGGAAAGGGAGAGGGAGGGGAGGGGAGGGGAGGGGAGGCAGTAGAATGTAAGATGAGCGCATGCTTCGTGCGCTGCCTCCTTAGCATCACATTTGGCTGACTTGCTCACGAAACTCTTGCAGATCGTTCGGGGAGTTTGTTGCGATTTTGAGAAATCGATCATTTGGAGCGGGGGTGAAGATTGCAAGGTAAGGATTACCCCTTCGTCGACCTCCTCCTTCCGTCCTTCCCTCCCTGCGTTCAACCCCCTCCCTCCCTCCCTTCCCTCCCTTTCTTCCTCCCTCTCCTCCCTACCACGCTCTCTTTTTCTTTCGCTCTTGCTCCTTCGTCTCCTCGTGCTGTGATTCTCATTCTCTGCCGCAGGTCTGTATGTGGAAGCATGACGCTAATTCTTCGCTCCCTCCCATCTCGACCGACAGAGCAGGAGGTGTAGGAAAGGTGAGAAATGAGCGAAAGATGGGATGGAGTCCCTACTGATCGGTACTCCTCTCCTCTCTCCTCTCTCCTCTCTCCTCTCTCCACTCTCCACGCACGAGAAGCCGAAGGTTGTGGGCGTGAAACTAGGGACTCGGAAGATGGGGGATTGGGGAAGGATGCCATAAGAGTGTTTAGGCGAAGGTTCGAGGGACTGATGATGGTATATTGATAGTAAAGGGGGAGAACAGAATGGGTCCTGACCGATGTGTTGCCGCGAAAGGATTGTGTGGCTGATGGTGCTGTATATCCTTAATGATTCTGATGCGTAGCATGCGTGCGTGCGAATTTCTGTCAATAGAATGCGAGATACAGTTGAGGTGGAAGGGAGTGTTTGAGCTCTTTGTATTAGTGCTGAGGGGATGTTGGTCACATGATGCATCAAGAAGTAGGTGAGGGGCGACTAGGTTGAAAGCTGCGACCGCAGTGTTGCGGATATTCATAGAGTTTTCTTGTGTTGTTTAGAGTCTTTGGGC